AGAGGAGTATTGTTACCTGTGATGATAATATCTTCCACAGAAATCGTGGAACCTGTTTTAGAGTAAATAATGGGGGATTACTTTTACTGGCAACAAAGTCAAGTCTTGATGAGGCAATGTTTAGCCTTTTAAGACAAGCCTGTGGTGCTTTTTTAAGACCATAAACTGACTTGCTTCCTATTGGGCCAGCACCTGGAGGGTCCACAAAGCACGAAGTTTTGTTACTTTCTAAGGTCTTGATCTAGGCCCGCATAGCATCTTGCCACCATATGGATTTATTTGCCTCTGCATGAAAAGCATGTTCACTATCAGATGAGGGTGACATCACATACCTATGATGTTATGTTGAGGAGAGATTTGAAGTCATTGAGAAGTGGCCTTTGTTGAGCACACATTGACCTTTATGGGCTTGGCTGGGAGTCGTCTTGTTGAGAAGTCAGTGTTGATTGGTCCTCAAGACAAGTTCAATGAGTTGAAAATGATGACACTTGTGATGGCATTGCATTTACATACGACCAAGGTTCCCTGGTGAGAGTATGAACTAGAACAAATCCTTGTGTCATCTTTGAATATGAAAATGTACCCTTTCTAGCTTGTGTGTCAAACTTGGTCCTATGAGGCTGCAACATGCTATAGTAAGACAAGCTTCCTAACACCCAGAGAGTTCTAAGATCAGGATAAGTACCATATAGGTGTTCATAGGATGATTTATTATGAAGAACTTGAGATAGAATTCTTTAATAAGGTACACAGCATGAAGGACACTATGTGACCAAAACAGTTTTGGAAGCTTTTGCTTGAAACGCCAAGGCTCCTCTTACATTGAGAAAGTGTTTGTGGCAGGTTGAACACTGCCATTTTGCTGAAGTGTTTCCGCAATGGATAATTCCCTTGAATGCAAATCTTGCTGCTGGAATAGATTATTTGGATAGTTAAAAGGCAGTTTTTTGAGTACATTGTTTGTTAACAGGCCATTGACTTGTGAAGAGGGTTATGTCTCTGGATCTTGTATACACACACTATTCTTTCTGTTAATAATACACAATTCACCATATATTTCTCTCTGTTTTTTGGGTGTGAGAGACTGTGAGGGAGTTCTTGATTAGGTTCCCAGTTTAGGAACCTACACCTCCCTTGTGAGAACTGGTGTTATTGCAACCAGTTGATTGACCTACCTTCATTGGGGTGCCCATAAGAGACTTGAATGATCTGAATTACCGTTGCTCTGTATAATGGAGCTTTCAACACTATTGATCCTCTCACTGAAACCTCCTCTGGAGTTTGAGTTTATTGTCATCATAAATGTGAATGCTGTGCTGCAGAGTTTTATGTGTGGTCTGTATGACCTGTGTTGTCAACATGGAATCAGTCATCAAACATTGAATCTCGAAAACCAGTCTTGTAAAGAACTGGTAGAACTTGTTCAAAACCAGGCATAATCTATTTGCTTTATATTTTAATTAAAAAACTCAATATTAGCATGATTGATACAACTTCAATCCAGCTGATAGTTGATAGTTATATTATGTTTTCTTAGTTTCTATTTATTGTTGCTTTGTGTGGTGTTGAATTTAAAGGTCTTCAGACATATTTTATTTGATTTCATGTTTAATTTTGAATATTATATGTTATGACATTTATAAGTGAAGTTTAATTCTAAATATTATGAATTTATGGATATTATACTACTTTGTCTTTAATATTGCTTAATATATTTATATTGAAATTAAAATCATATTATTTAGTTATTACTTGTTCAACTATGGTTATATAATTGAACCACTACTTTCATTAGTTAAGGACCTGTTCAATTTTTAAAATTCTAGTGATAAGATTCATTTGAAACTTTTCATCTAACATTCTGGCGGGTATGTGGATGCTACGGGTTTTCATTGACTTAACTCCTCCTGTTTACCAGCTTCAAATGGAAATCCACGCCTTCCAGATTCTTTGCATTATATCGATCCTTCAGGACGGCCAAATGCATACCAGAGGGTGAGAAATGATTCTTGGTTTTGATTCACAACTTTTATATGTGACTGATCCATATTGTACGGATATTCTTTTCCAGGCAATTTCAGAGGTCGGGGAGGTCTTACAGTATTATGATTCAGACAAGCGATTTCCGACATGGGGATTTGGAGCACGACCAATTGACGGTCCTGTCTCCCATTGTTTCAACTTGAATGGAAGCAGCCATTACTGTGAGGTAGAAATGTTAAATCTGATATTGCTTTTGTTTTCGTATTAAGATTGTTTAATAATAAAAATAGGTGGTGTCTTTTTGCAGGTGGAAGGCATCCAAGGAATCATGAAGGCATACACAAGTGCCCTGCTTAACGTTTCTCTTGCAGGACCAACTCTTTTTGGACCTGTCATAAGCAATGCTGCAAGGATTGCCAGCCAATCTGTAGCAAATGGCGGAAGAAAGTACTTTGTCTTGTTAATCATCACCGTAAGAGTTGGAATATGCAGTTTTCATTACTATTGCTTTTTGTCTAGGAAAATGTTAGTTATAATTTTTGGTAGGTGGAATGGCGATTCCACTCATTAAAGTGAGAAAGTGTGTAAACTGAGAAAGGTTGCATTAACTCATAATTAAGTTCACGAGGTACTTCACATTTTAAAAACTTAATCATTGGACTGGGAATGTCGATTCCACTGTGACTCACATCGTATTTTTTCCCCAGTACAAAATATGGCTAGTGCTTCACTAGTTTCTCAAGTATTTTTTTAGCATTGCTTAGCTTATATTGTTTGGATTTCTGTCAATAGCTGAGGCATACTAATATTTGCGTTCCACACACGAAAAAATTTGCCTCCAGAGAACATTTTAAGATTTTTCCATCAACTAGCCTTTTCTAATAATGCCTGTACTGAAATTTATTTAATAACCTTCCAGGATGGAGTAGTGACAGATCTCCAAGAAACAAAAGATGCTCTCGTTAAAGCATCAGATCTACCATTATCAATCCTTATTGTTGGTGTTGGAGGAGCCGATTTCAAAGAAATGGAGGTATTAGGCTATATAACATGTAGCACTTTACACACAAAATCACAATTGTTTAACGTCTAAAGCATTGAGCTATGTCTGGTATGCCACTGCAGAGCTTTATGTAGTTTTGTTCAATGTCTCAGATTTTAGATGCGGACAAAGGAGAGAGGCTTGAAAATTCATCTGGTCGCCTTGCTTCACGTGATATAGTCCAGTTTGTTCCATTTCGTGACGTTCAAAGTAGGTATCAGCTTGTTTGCAAATCATGACTTTTTGACAAATGGTTTCTAACTTGGCAATCTCTTGCAAACTTCTCCCTATTGCAGGTGGAGAAATTTCAGTAGTTCAAGCACTTCTAGCTGAATTACCTACTCAATTTTTAACTTACGTGCGGAGCAGAAGTATCCAACCGACTGTTTAGTAATGTAAAGTCTGTACATTTACAAAATTTCTATTCATTGATATTGTGGAATTTCCACGCTGTTCCATTTTCGGTATCTTCAATCGGAAAAAGGGCTTAAAGGGCAGATAACTCGTCCTTTGTTCTAATTGTTGATGTTGATTAACGTGTCAAGATGAGTTCACCAGTGTCCCATCCAGCCACATAGTTGGAATTTCCTTTTCTTCCATGTTTTTGGGGGGCTTTTCGGGTTAATTCGGCCCCCAAAAAATCTACTCTTGTACAGTGTAACTCAAATTTCTCATTATATGTTCTAAGCATATTAAATATATTTATTTTTCAATGAACGAATTTAAAATTATGGAGGTTCTATCCTCCACTAATAAATAGATGATTTATAATAAATCCATCCTATGTTGTAACAGGTAGTAAGAAATACCGAGACAGGAGCCTTTTCTTTCCTTTGTCCATTTTGTTGTAAAAATGCTTACTAAATATATGACGAGCCTTCTAGGTAATGTTATATAAACTATCCTTATTCCAACTAGCATTTTGGAACAAAATTAAGGGACTCTGTAAGAATTAGATCTAGGATGCACCTTTCATCTTCAAAATTGCAGTTCATTTTATTTGGAAAAAGGTACACACCAAAAGTGATGCCTACAACAAAGGGCTGGTGACATAGTTTAAATGTTTTAATATTAAAAGGATGGATTAATTCGTCTTGTCCTATAATATTAATTTATCCGTTTCACAACGATTATTAAATATAATTAAATTATGGACCTAAATATAAATGAATTATAACTTAATTCTCTTTATTACTGTTATTTAAAAAATACATTCAAATTTGCACAATATCATTAAAAATTGGTGGAAGGAATTAGAATATTCATTTATGTAATATGTTTTCATTTGTTTGTGTACATACTCCTATGTGAAAATGGGTTAGTGCATTGTGGTTTTGGGTTAGGGATGTGGATTGTTATGAGTTTTTAGTTTAAAACGTTGACATTAGTGTGAGTTGTGAAAAAAAAAAAGTGAAACATTAATGGAATTAAACAAAAGGAAAGAGATAACCACAGCAAAAAAATACATTCGAGATATTTTAGCTTTAATATGGTATAATGGTGTTATGTTTTTTTTATTCGCAATAAAGAATATAAATATTAAAAGAAGCATGCAACAGACCCAAAGTAACAAGAAAACTATCAACCAATACACCAAAAAAATTTAATGAGAAAAACTGCTCTGAATGATGTTAAAGGAATATTCAGAAAACAAATGAGTAGCTATGAGCCCCATTCCATAGCTTTACAGAGCAAAAACGATGTAAGAAGAAACAACATAACTCTGCCGAAAGAAAATGCAGTGAGAGAAAAAACAGAATTAATCTTTCTTACCCTCTCTCCTTAACCAATAGAATATATAGACTAGACCCTGGACCAATAAAAACCTTCTATTATTTTGTCAAACCAAAGACAAAATAAAGGAAAAACAGACAAGAGAATATCCTTTCACACAAAAGACAATTCATACCCAACCTACATAAATATTCTCAGACAAATAACTATCAAAATATAGAACAGCATCCCTAAAGGAACGATGGAGTCACTGGGAGCGTGTATCCGGGTAAGGGAAAGTTGGTAATAATTTGAATACTTGATGAATAAATTGTTTGACTTGTGTGTGTGGATTTTTAATGGTAAAATGAGATTGGTTGATTGTGAGTTTCTTGATTATGCTAATATGTGATGAATAAGATGATATGCTTGTAGGACATGTGGTATGAATTGATCTTATAATTTTATTTTATGAAACTTAGAAATTTTGTATGATAAACTTTATCAGTAAATTGTTTGAGTATAATGATGGAATTGAGTCCTAATTTATTTGCTTAGAATATTGATTTGGGTTGTTTTAATATGATTGTATGTGGAACTTATTTGATTTAGTTAGGATGGTCCAATTTGATCCATCTTATGGTTATTTTGAACTAAAATAAGGTGTTTTAAACTAAAAAGGAACTAAAGTCACATAGATAGTTAAGTTGGACAACCTATTCAAGTCAAATTAGGGTTAAAACTCTAATGTAGTGTCGAATGGTACCATGGAACTGCTGGACACCAATCGTAGGATTCAAGTTAGTGAGCTCTAGTGATCTAGAGTGTCGGACGCAACTCTAGGACCAATAGACGAACTATATGTGATATGTGGTTTTTTGACTATTTTTTTGTGACTGTGTTTACCTATTTGGTGATGTTTATTGTGAGTTAAGATGAATGTAGTCTTTATATTGATGTAAAAGAGTGGATAGTTTGGAAAGTTGTTACAAAGAGATGTATATTTTGTTATTATGGTGTTCCTAAGGAGAAAGGCTGCTTTTGTGAATTTAGTGTTATGCATTGACTAAAGATACGTATTTATGAGAAGTCATCCTAAACTCTAACTCTACTAGACTTACAAAGTCACTAGAGTATTGTAGTCTATGTATTGAGAGTTAAAGGGGAGGAGGGGGGGTTTTATAGCACGATTTGGGGTGGGACCCCTTTCTTGACAAGTTAATATGGTCGGTCTTGGTATAGCCAACCTTGGTGACTAGCTCATATGAGTATAGTATTGATGACAAAATCCTTACCCATGACCAGTGTAGACAAGAAAGTGGACCTCAACTATTGAGTTGGCCCAAACTCTATTTTTTGGACCAACTTTGTTTGTAAATATTATAATAGATTTATTTTTAGGTGTTGTATTCATAACCAATTAATATATGGTTTTCTTTGGGCCTTGTATTTACGCCTAAAAGGAGAAATGTATTAATTTGGGTTTTAAAGTGAGACACATAAAATTAGGATCTTCTATCCTAACAGGCGCAAGATTGAAGAGCTAGGTTTAGCTCTCTTTTATGCGCCTCGTGGCATGGGAGGTGTAACCTTGTCACTTAAGGAAGTTACACTAGTTACATGCTCTTTTTTGGCTCCAAAATTCAATTTTCTAGACTTGAATTTTCTCTCCTTTTATGGAGACCACTTGCTATCCTTTTCTCCTATAAATAGAGAAGCTCACCTCTTGTAAAAATCATTCATTCATGTTAGTAGAGAAACTCTGTTGAGATTACTCTATACCCTTCTTCTTTTGTAAATCAACCTAAGCTAGACTTTTCCTTTAGGTTTCCTCTAACCATATATCCTTCCTTAAGAGGTGACTCAACCTCTCTTAAGAGCACTCCTACACCACTATATCACCATAGTCGAACCTTCAACCTCTCCACTTCTTCATTGCTTCCACTCAACCTTGTCTTCTCTTCAAGTTGCACCTTGAATGCTTGAAGGAGGAGTCATCAAGTATGGTCTCTGTATTGTAAAAATGAGAAAAATGAACAACATATGAGGTAGAAGACTTATGAATTCATTGTTTTAAGGTTTTGAGTTGAAAGTAACACTAGTTTAGGGAAGAGATTTGACACCAATTGTTTTCGCATTATTACTTCGTCCAACCAAAGCATATTCAAACGAGAAAAAAAAAAGAGAAAATTTTAAGCTTTGGTTAATAACTGAAACATATTCTTAATAGATAGGCTTTAGTTCTTCCATAACTGAAGCCTATATATGACATAAAAAAAATTTACAAATATTTAAATGTAGAAATGAAGACAAATTATTTAATAATTTGAAATAATATATGAGTGCATGGTGACAAGGGAAGGGAAGAAAGTGCAACGAAACCGAATTTACGTTTCGCAATTGTAGAGAAATGTCTAAGAGAAGACATTGACCCTGACCAAGTTAGGCAATGGTGAAGAGGAACAATGTGTCTCGCATGAAGAACCTGGACACGAAATGCTTGCGATAGGAAAAACAAAAAAATAAAAAACACAAGAACGAGAGAACGAACATCTCATGAGGGAAGATACAGTACAACAACGTTCGTGTCACAGTGGAAAAGGAGTGAAAAAAAAAAGGAAGACAATGGAGCAACGTTCACGTTCGTGGTGACATTGAAGAAAGGGTTAGGAATGACAATGACATTTGTGTCTCTCAATTGCATAGAAAAGCGAAGAGTTAAACACCGTGCAATATAACAAATGTCTATAACGGGATTCTTAATATCTGAAAAAATAATCCTAGCAAAGGAATAAGTTTTGATTCTTTATAAAAGGAAAACATATTCTCTGACACAAAGATAAAATTAAAAAATAATAATGATATTTTTAAAACTTTTAGTTGACTTTATGTTATATAGATTTAATAAAATTTCATTGCTAACATTTTTTAAATTGTTTGTAAAAGTATAGGTTTCGATTATTTAAATAATTAAAACCTATATTAGTATAGGGTTCAGTTATTTTAGAATCATAATTTATAGTTGTGAAAAAATTTCAAAACTACAACCCCATTTTAAAAGGTTTTATTTTATTTTTAAATCAAAACCTATTACACAATCTCAAAAACCTATTTTTACAATATAGTGTGATGTTAATTCTTTACATGAGATACACACTCCTGGTGTGCATTTATACATAGTTCACTGATAAAAAAAAAAGTTGTTTAATTACAATAGAGTAGAGAATGAAACTATTAATCATAATATAAGATTATATTGTTATGTAAAGATAAGACAAAATATGTACTAACAATAAAAGTTATTTGGTTTGGTTTGAATTTTTTTTTATACGGAATCAAATCACACTATAAACACCCTCAGTATAAAATATTTTATAAATATAAATCTATAGGTAAATATTTTATTTGTCTTATAAATAATATTTTTTATTGGACACTCTCTCATGTAATATAACCTTAATCCTCAATGTCATATTTCAAAGAAAAAATTATAATTATATAAATTTTAAAATAGAATACTAAATAAAATTATATTGTTGAATACTTGTAATTGATAATTAAACATTCTTACATAACAAAAAAATAAAAATTTAAAAAGGAACATAGATTATGTATGCTCTATAGATAATCTAATTAATTTATAAATTTGTATGCAAGTCTAAACACATTACACAAAAAATAGTTAAACTCGATTGATATTCAAAGTTTGAAACAACCGAGAAAGAAAATGAAAAATTATATATATATATATATATATATATATATATATATATTTAAAATAAAATAAAACAAAAGGCCAAAATATAAAAACAACGGCAAAATTTCTACAAATCATCTAATAAAAAATGTCTTAATAATTTAAAATAAAACAAGTTCATGAAACATCGTAAACATAACAAGCATATCTTCATAAATGATGTGAAAAGAATTAAGAATCACTTATATTAATAGTCATGCTTAATTAATATAAAAATTATCCACTAAAATTAAATTAAATTCAAATAGTATACCCACACAGATACATACCTGTTTACCCCTGACTCCGAAAATCAATATACATGAAATCAAAGTAATAACATTATTGTAATAAGTTGGTAGTAGGCGAGTCATAAAAGTATTATTAGTCTCATACAATAAGACAAACAAGAAAGAAAAATGAATTTAAGAAACGGAAGAATTGTTTCAAAAAGTAAACGAACAAAAAATAAAGTAAAGGAGGGAGAAGAAGAATACGATGAACAGAAGACTTTTGGGTTCCTCCTTCTTCGGTTTATTTATAGTCCTCAAAATTTCATATCATTCAAAAACCCTAGCTTCTTCCTCACTCCTCTTCCTTCTACTTCCGTTTCTTCTCCCTTTCCACCATCGCCTTTACGTTCGATCCACCCAAAAACAATAACATCAATTTCACGCAGATTCAAATCCCTCCCACGTTCACCAAAACCATACACAAAATTTCACTCACAGTCATCGCAGAACGTCCGAGTGAAGAATTACCTATTTCATCGTACCTTTCACGTGATCGATATCTGAGTTGCAAAAGTGGATCGAAAGCATGGAAAGAGGCCACTTCCTTTGGAAGAAGAAGAAGAAGAAGAAGAAGAAAAAGCGTTTCCGTTTTATTTTTCTCGATCTAAGCAAGACGTGTCAGCTGTGGTATCAGCCCTTGTTCAAGTCATTGGTGGCAATCCACTGCCCGAAGATCCAACCACACTTTCTCACTCCACTGCTGTTCAGAATAATTCGAACGAACCATCACATCCACCACAACACCAAGGTATGTTCCTCCCTGCGCCGTTATCATATATACTATACACTGCACATTTTTCTCTTTTTTCTTCCATATAGATTGCTTTCGTGATTGATATTTGAGGAGTGATTAAGAACCGTGGAATATTGGGAATCAGAATATAGGGTTCATGACTTGATGCAGAAACAAGTATTACGTTCCCCTGTTGTGTTCTTCTGTATCTTTGCTGAAACCAGAAAAGGACATATGTTATTACCTTGTGTAGCTGGAGATAGCAATCTTTAGGGTTTCTTGATTTGTCTCTAAAAATCATTGTGTGCTTCTGCAAGTTAGGTTACTGCATACATGGATGTTGTTTTGTTTGCACTGATGTGTTGTTCATGGTTTTTCTCAAACTTCATGAAAAAATTTCATAAAAAAATTGTATTCGCACTCCTCTTTACACTATTAATTATAGGACCAGGATATATACTTAACAACTCTTTTTTTTCTTTATACTCATACTTACCATTCTTCATACTTTTCCTCATTATTTAACTACAAATATACCCTTTATTGTATATTTTTAAGTAATCACAATCAAGAGTTGTATATAAATATACCATCTCTGTTAGTTATAACCATGTTTAATAAAATGTTAATGATGTGAACTATAGAAAGAGAGAAAAAGAAGTGAAGGAAACTCTTTTTTCAACAGATGATGCAAGCGTAAAAGAAATACAACGAAACGGTTCAAGTTATTTTTATTTGCTATAATGTTATTAGTATATATAGACACAGTTCTAGATAATGATGAAAATTGATAATTTCTTATATTTATAATACAATCTACTTTAAAGATTACAGTGAATAAAGTTTGGACGATCGTATATAGTGTGGAAAAGCTATGTTCTAGTTAATTAGAACATTGAAGTTGTCGTTGTGCGTAGCTATTATCAATGTGGGTGATTTATATTTTTCTGAAGGTGTGTTACGAGTTAAAAGGTTGTTTCGTGTTCTTGTGATTACAAAAATAATTTATTTTGTCCAGTCCTTTTCGTGTTTGTGTTGTCTTATATTTAGTTTTAAAATCAAATATAAAACTAGTTTTTTGTTTTTGTTATAATTTTAAAATGCCAGCTTCAATACAGCTTAATTATAGAATGTGAATGTAAGTTGTATAATGAAAATAAAGATCTAAGACCAAAAGTAATAGTTTACGGACAGGCTGTGAGTCCTTTTTCTCACTACTATTTCTATTGCAACCTAAAATGTCTTGCACTCCTATGTTGCCAACAAAAGAGAGATATAAAACCATTTAAATTTCTCTCTTTTTTTTTACCATAAAATGATAGTTTAAAAAAATTTTACTTAGATAAATAAATAACCTTAATATGGCCACAAGACAAGCCAAAGGTCAACATAAAAAATTTAGACATAAAATTAGAATTCATTTAGACATAAAATTAGATATGATTTTAAATATGGTTTTAATCTTTGCATTTAGACATAAAATTAGAATTCATTTTTTTTTAACTTTTGATAATTTTTTGTCCTTAAACCTTATAACTTAATTAATATAGTTATTTTAACTTAGTGATATTAAGTTTTTTTTTGCATGTTAAACAATATTTTAAACTAATATTTGAATTAAAAAAAGTCCAATGTAAATAGCTCAAGCGTAAATCTAAAGTATCGTTTAACACCAAAAAAAACTTAATGCAATTGAATTTTGCATCAAAATTTAAGATATAACTGAATTTCAATTTTATATCAAAACATATCAAAACTCTCTCATTTTTAAATCATAATCACCAAATAAAGAAAAGGAAGAGAGAAAACCATTATTTGTAAATGTGTAAAAAAAAAAATAATTAATGTTCACAAAAAAATGACCAGATTTTTTGTTTGCTCAAAGATAAAGAAAATAAAATTTGTTTTAGTAAGATAAATTTTTCATTAATAACATAGTGAAGAAGTTGTGTCCAGATTTAAACTCATTTACATGTATATTACACACATCTTTCACATAAAATATTGATAAAAAAAAATTGAAAGATCTTGTGCCCTATTATATAGTACGTTGTGTGTGAGCTGAAATTATACACAACTTTGTTTGCCCCAGATAAAAAAGATGCCACTTTATTACATTGTACCCACTTTCTTTTAAAAAGGAAAGTATATCTATATATCCATACATAAAAAGAGATACAGAGAGAGAGAGAGAAAGAGAAAGAGAAAGGCTTGATATTTTTTTAAAACATTGTACATATGATAGGTTTTACTTTTAATCCTTCAATTATTTTTTTGATTCTTATAAATCTTAGTACTATGTAAATTTAATAATTCATATTAAATAATTCTAGACAATCCAGACAAAGTCATGTTATATGCCATCCCATAATAGTTGTTAGTATGTGACGTGTCTATACACATATTACATAATTCTAGATAATGTCTTAAATTATTTCGAACACCAAAACTATTAATTTTTATTTTGAAAAATAAAACTAATAAAGTTTTAATACATATAAGTATGTATTTATTGAAAGAGTCGTAGTTTATTCCACTATAAAGTACAAATTTTAGAATCTAAATTATAAAATAAAAAATATATCTTTCTGCTAATTATCAAATAAATCTCAATTAAAAAATAGGTTTTATAAGAGACAGTGAAAGTGTAAAAGATAAATTAAAACATTATAAGATAAATTAAGATATTATAAAATAGGCTTTGAGAAAGAATTCTACCCAATGTTTAAATTTAATGGCACCATACTATCTCTAAAACAAAAATGTTTGGAGTAAATGAAAAACCACTTACGACTTTCCAAGTGTTTATAATGTCAAGTTATTAAAAGTAACATATAGTTGAATGTGACTTGCGTGTGCACAACGAAAGATGCTCGCAAGGTGTTTGCTGAAATTCGTGACGTGTGATGTGGCTATGTGTGAAGGAAGCGCAAGAAAACAATACAGAGGAGTGAGACAGCGACCATGGGGGAAGTGGGCCGCGGAGATTCGCGACCCGAAGAAAGCAGCCAGAGTTTGGCTGGGAACTTTTCCCACCGCGGAGGCTGCTGCACTTGCTTACGATGAAGCAGCTCTCAGATTCAAAGGAAGCAAAGCCAAGCTCAATTTTCCAGAAAAAGTTCATCTCTCAGGGGAATTAGGTTACCTCACAAATCGTCCACCATCGTTACAAGCCTCTTCAACTCCCTTCCAACTGCTTCCTCGTCACACTCCAACTGACAATGATGCCATTCTTTCTTCCTCTTCTTCGCCATCGTCTTCAACCTTTTCGATGAACTCCGCAGCTTCTTCTTCCGAGCCTCCTACCAAACGGAAACCTGATTTCGATGCCAAACAAAAACTACATTAATTAATTTACGCAATATATATGCTTATCTTATAATCTTTATCAGAGACCAATGTTTATTATGTATGGTGTCAACGAAATAATGTTGCAAGTTCAAACAACCCAAGTGTGTATTTTTTTTCATTGACATTATATGATATCAATAATTAATATCATGAAATAAATTAATTAACTGTGTATTGTATATCCATCAAATTTTGATAATAAACAGCACACAAATATAGTATTAGAAACCTGAAGTTTCAAAGTAGACATGAATGAATGAGAGAAGGTAAGAGAAGTTGAGAAGCAGAAGAGGATGAGCAGTGTTTATACGAGCTTTAACTGCGTCTCATAACAACCCCGTGGAGTCAGTGTGAAATATTCTTGTAACAACCATTTATGACTACGAGAAAGATAAATCTATGAAATGACTGATATGTATATATATATCGATTTTGTGTGGTAAGAAATAAACAAAATGGTGTAAAAACATTTCCCACAAAAAAAAAGTTATTTAATATAATTGTTATCCATTTAAGTTCTTTAAATTTAATATTCATGTATATAAAATCGATATTTTAAAAAGGGATTTTTATTGATCAATAAGTCTTGTAAACTCTTCTTTAACTGGTATGGATTATATATTTTTATGGAAGTATGCAAAAATGTAGGAAAGTTTTAAAAAATTGGATAGTTTTTATATCATGATTATAAAAATAAGATAGTTGATTTAAAATTTATATATTACAATAAATAGTCATAAGTCATGATGATTTTTTAATTAAAATCATCATGAATTCTGACAATGTTTTGATAAAAATATGAAAATATAACGTAATCAAATTTCATAATAACTTCTTTTTATAAATATGTTTAATAAAGTTAAAAATAATGATGACTTTCAATTTATAGAAAGTTGATTATTTTTAATAAAACCAAAGTTATTTTGATTTATGATAACTTCATTTTTATATGATTTTATGAAAAAATGTTTAGAATTCATAATAATTTTAATTAAAAAATATTATGACTCATAACGATTTGTTTTCGATGTATGAATTTTAAGTTAATTATTGTATTTATTAAATTCACATGGTAACATACCTTGTTTCTTTTATTTCCGTAAAAGTAATAAGAAAAAGAGAGAAGTTTGAACACGGACGAAAACGCTGACCTGGTAATATGAAAAAGATAGGGCGAAAACCGCGTTACAATAATTAGGCGCCGGGCTTCCAAACTAAAATCTAGAAGACACTGAACCAACAGTTGACCAATTGCATGGTCTCAAATATTCCTTCTGTCAGACACTAAATTACCAACTCTGCTTTCGGACCTATTAATGCCTTTAGTTTTATTATTATTATTATTATTATTATTATTATTATTATTATTGGTCTAAAAAGTTGTTAATAATCTGATTAATCTAAATTAAGTTGAATTCTGTTATTACAGAAAAAAAATACATTATTCCTTTGAACTTTATCCTAAAGTGACTTTTGTTATAAGTTATAACAAATTTAAGAACATTATTGGTATGCAATAAGTTATGCAAATGTACTTAGAGGAGTAAAATGTAAAAAGAAAAAAGTTGTGGATTCTAATTTATTTATTAGGTCAAAGTAGATATTGCTTGAGCTCAACGTGTTTTACAATCTTAAACCAAAGTCTATTAGTTTTTTCAATACAACTTTTTGTTAACCTGTTTGAAGATTCCGGGTGTTCCTTTTTTAGAACTACCTGATTACAAAGACTATCAATTTGAAACTTTATCTTTTTTAAATCATTATTTCTTATGTGAAAATATCAAAGTTTTAGAGTTCATATAGAAAAATAACGTTAAAACTGGCAAAACTTAATTCTTGAAGAATGAGCAATAAGTTAGTGCTACTTTTCTTTAATTATTTAATTATTAATTATAGTCTTATTTGTAACTATTCTATTCATTAAATATGTAATTTTTTGTTTTCTAATTTTAAAATTTACATTAGTTAACTAATTTTACTCGTCTATTCTTAATAAAATGGATCAAATTAATATTTTCAATATTACATGTTTGAATGAGTCAATTGAGATAAATCAATTTATAAGAGATAGATAATGTTGAAGAAGCCAAATTGATTTATTATGATAGATATACTAGAGTATGTCTAAACAATTGGATGATTTATGTGTACAAAGAAAAATAAAATTGAAAGAATAGTTTCAACTCACTCGCATTAAATAGTAATCATTTAAAATTAGATGGTTTATTTTTTATACGCGTTCTGAATAAAAAAGCTCACAATACATTTTTAAAACATTAGTGACTATTTAATATACACGTCACAGGTAGGACATAAACTTCGTTTTAGGACAAAGAAAACTTAAATACTTAAAAATCTTCTTAATAATTACGATAATATTGAAAAAATAATTATATCTTCAAAACATAACATATAATCAGTATTTATTATATTTAAAAAAATTATCAAAATATGTTAATAATTCAATTTTTATTATCGAATAATATTTTAATCGGTAAACTGTACCACTATAAAATGACGGCAAAAGTTTTCATTTAAACTTTGAATATGTTGTGCTAAAATTTATTGGTAAATTTAGCAATAATGATATTTTTCAATCCATAGTGTGTTTGTATGTAATTAAATTTTTTAAAATTCGTTGAAAACTATTTTCTAAAAATTTGTGGTTAATTGTATTTTTTAAAATCTGTTAATAGATCTATTGGTAAAACCAGTCTCAATTTTCTTACCAAATTTGATAAAATATTTATTGTAAATTAAATAGTGATAACTAAGAATAAAAAGAGAAAACTAAAAAAAAGAGAAAGAAGAAAATGAAAGGAGGAGGAAAAGGAAATAATAATGATAGCGGAGAGGAGAAAAAGAGGTGGAGGAAAATGGGGAGGAGGCGGTGAAAACAACAATAAAGACAACAATGAAACGCCAGTAGTAGTAACAATGGTGATGACACTAGTGACAGAGGAAGAGAATAAAAAAAAGAATAGAAAGAAGAAGAAACATTACAAGAAAATATCTAAATAATGACCAATTTTAGTGACAAAAAGTTATTAGTAACTATAGTAACTTTAGATACTAATTTATAAACTAAAAATTATTAGTAATTAAAATAGTTTATAAATTGATATTTAAATTAGTTACTATAATGAATTAGTTTCCAAATTAGTCACTAACATTAACTATTAAGGTTTTGACTACTAAAAGAATTGGTCTCTAATTTTTGAAACAAAAAATAATTAGTCATTATAGTGATCAATTTAGAGACTAATTCCTTTGGTAGCCAAAACTTTGGTAGTTAATGAATTTCACCAACGAAAAAAAAAATCATTGATAATTATGGATAGATAATTATTGATGGATTCATATTATCAGTAATTACCAATGAGTTTTTGGTTATCAATAACTACCAATGAATTTTATTATCCACTTATAAAATTTATCGATGAACATTTTATAGATAACTTTTTCATCGGCATTTTGCTTTCTTGACAAATTTTTGTGATCATACTAATGGATTTTTGTAAAGCTCAAGGTATATTGATTAGAGTGGGATTTTCATCTTATTTTCAATTAAGATTGTTGTTCAAGGAATATTGATTATTACTTAAGTTAATGTCTACTGTTCGAGTGAGATTGCTCATGTGAAATTGTGAATTATTTAGAAAAGTATGTTTATAAGTGATATTGCTCGTGTGAAATTGTAAATTATGTAAAAAAGTATGTTTATAAAAGAAGGTTAGTGTGTTATATTTTAATGTTGTATAAAAGAAAAATGATAACAATGAGAGCAAAAGGTCAAATTATGCGGTTGGAAGCATATGATGTTTGTATACATATATTTATGTTATATGTAGTCCTTTATAGGTGAGGTAAGAATACCTACTAGTATGACATTATGTAACATTAGATACAAAACTCATTAAGATATGATCAGATAGATAAGAAATGGAGTTGTGATAAATTAAAGTAGGTTTTGTATCAAAACTTATAACATAAGATCTTGTATCCTGACGTAAGATCTTGCGATTGGTTTTAACTTATAGTGAGTGTTAGTCTTTGTTAAAGAATGTCTAATATGAGTCTTTCAAAGATGATCAGTTTGACAAAGTCATTGTTAAATCATTGAGATGAAATTGAAGATTCTTACATATGAGATGAATGTGATTTAATAGTGATTAGTTGTGTTAGTTTTTTAGAAGGAGAATGTGTGATATTTGTTGAGATGAGAATGGTAGTTTTTTTGCATTAGTAATATGTTTGTAAAACTAAAGTATGTACTATTTGGGTTGTTGTTTAATACATGGTAAGAGAATAATTGATTTTGTAGGTTGTTGAATGGAGAAGAAACAACATTATTGAAAACATTTTATTATTCTTCTTACTATTTTTGATACATATTATTCTTAAAAGACAACAATATTCTTGTAATAATTTTGTTATCCTATTATTTATAAGTTTTTAATAGCTTATTATTTTTAATAAAGATAAATAAATAAAACTTTGATAACTAATTTTACAGGCCAATTTAAACTCTAGTTGATAAACCAATTATAAATTTGTATCAATAACAAAGATTAGTTTAAATACCAATATTTATACCAATATTTTTTAGTTTAAACAATAATGTCTAACTTAATTAATATAATAACTAATAACTTTTGTTCTTTAAATTAGTTTTTGTTTAATGATTTTTGTTGTTGTAATGTTAATTTTTTAATTATTTTTTGTATTTCTTCTCATCTTTTCCTCTTCAACTAAATATATTTAATTTATTTTTCTACTCCATTAACTTATTTCAATGATACCTGTTTTTCTCACCTATATATACGAAGTAGTTAATTTAGACTAAATAGAAATGTTAGAAGAGAAATTTAACTGTATATATATATGATTTTGGTGGTAGAAAAGAGTAGGACTAAGGAAATGATGATAAGATTGAGGTCAAAGGAGAATAAAAGTAGTGGATGATTCAATGTCACTCTATGTTGCAGCTTGGAAGTTACGATATAAAAAGTCAGATATCTCTACTCGAACACGTTGTCGTCAATTTGGTTGAGCTAAATTTGGATTCATGTTATGGCCTTCTTCCTTTTGCTTCATTCCATAATCTTAATGTTCTTTTTTGTCAAATTTTGCGGCATTGCTGCCGTATTACCTACAACTACAACTCATAATTCCTACCAATTTTCAACATCTTCCACCTTCGTCCATTATTTTTTTCCCGTTTTGGTAAAATATAATTTTAATTGCCTTATTCTATGTTTTCTTATACACACTTCGTACGAATATCATTATAAAGTAATTGAAAAGGAGAAAAAGATAGCTTGCAACGCGCTTTTTGTGCTTTAAACATATTAAATGAATTAAGCGAGTGATGTTCGTTGATTTTCTAACTCTTTATGATGATCATAACTAAAAGAAGATAATTGGGAAGATGAATGAATCCATTATTATGGGTATTGTACAAATTTGTTATAATGTTATTGAATGGGTATAGGAATAGATAAGTAATGATTAAATTTTTAAATTGTGTATAGAAATCAAATGGATATGTACATGTTTGTCCCATTTCCATATCTATCATTTTGAATATACACATTATTGTTTTAAATAATTAAAACACTATATATTTAAATAATTAAATATACACCTGTTTGTCTCCTTACGATTCTCTTAGTATTTTTTGTATTTTGAATTACTGTTTAGTTGTTGAGGATTTCCCTGTGAGTCCTATCCTTTTGAAATACTCTATTTGTGTTTAAGTTTTAAATTATGTCTCATTCTGGAATGACTGTAAGCTTAACTATCTTATTTACAGTCTACTCTAACTGTTCTCGTACATTAAAATGTGAACTTACTACATTATATGCTTATATATAATATGGGATGTTACATATATATATTATAATGAATAATAATAATAATATTATATTATAACAACTTTATTTATTTATTTAATTATTTTTTATTTTATTTTATTCATTTAAATATTTTTTATAAAATAAATCTAATTTATTTAAATATCATTTAATATTATTTTTAACATCAAGAATAATTTAATAATCTTATTTTTCTTTCTATTAAATTTTTTAAAAATCTATCATATCACTCAAATCATTAATAAAAAAAGTGAACACAACTTTAGTTTCTATTTCTAAATATTACTGTTTTTGTCATCTTTTACCTTACTTTAATTATTATTTAATACTCTTGTTTAATATTTATATAATTATAATTTTTTAATATTGAAGAAAATAAAATATATATGACATTAATACGTATCGTGTTTTTTATGTGATTTTTTAATTCTATGGAAAAGTATTTAATAATCAGGATATTATCAAATACAGATATATGTGTTTCTCACTAAAATAAAAATGTGTTCATACTTATTAAATATAAATATAAAGATATATAAATATAAAAATAATAATGAATGGTCAAACCCAGATTCATCCTAAATATAATAATGTGAGATTATTTATTTATGTATTGTATTGATTCTTAAAATATCAGTGTCTTGTAGACTAGTGAATTTTGTGGACTCAATAAATTCGATCTCACATCACAGTCGGAATGCGATTTTCATAAGTATGACAAGAAAATTTAGTCAATCTTTAGCTCGCTTATAATCATCAACAAAGTCAAGAGATTGACTTCGTTGCCTCCACTGTTTTAGTTTTGATTGCTTCTCATGGTTCACTCTTTAAACATTTTTTTTGTCTCTGTATTTAATTCTTTTAAATTTTAAAAATACATATATAATTTATTTATTTTTGTCCATTGATCGTATTCTTCTATTTTACTTTTACTTGTTACATACTAATATTACAAAAGAAAAAGAAAAAGAAAAAGTTGGTCCATGCTATATACTGGGCTTAAGTCCATACGATGTTGCCGAAGTCACCGATCACTGTAAAGAGTCTCTCCTTGGTTGGATATTTGTCTTTGTTTTTTCTTTTGCGTTGTTGGCTTCTTGATCACGTTCAATAAATGAGTTTTACTGTTTAATTGTGACATACTTTTTGGGTTTTTCTCCAAGTTCTTTCGTGCATAAGTTGATTGTTACTTCAACGATCTTCCTACGTTTGGTATGCATGTATATATTGTATTCAAAATTTATGTTGTCTTATTTTATTTAAGATTGCTTGATGTATGACTTGAAATTAATGTCAGTAAGTTTACTTAATCTCCATCTATCAACGTGTTGTTTCAAGAGTTATTAAGTTATTCCGTCAATTTCACAAAATTGACTCGGTAAAAAGTTTATACACAACTATATAATATAATTTGACATTATTTTTATTTGGAAATTATAATATACTTTTTTTCTTATTTAAAAAAATTAAGCATAAAAATAAAGAAACACATGTATGGCAAAAGCATTGACTCTAATAAGAATATTGAAGAGTATGTATAATAGTGATAAATACAACAAACTACATAAAATTTATTAGGATAAATTTTAATACTATATTAAAAAATGAGTTTAAAGTTAAATCATTCTCACTGTATTAATAATGATAAAAAGAAATTCACACTAATTTTTATATTATAATTTAATTTTATATCTAGAAGTAAATTTCAACACAAGTTTTAAAATATATTTTTTTAATAACTTTTTTTACTATGATAATACTAATGATGATAATAAACGTAAAATTTTAAGAAAACTATGTTTATTATGTTAATAAAGGAAATTGTAGTAGGGTGTTATATTTTGAAAAGAAAAATCCTCTTCTTGTAAATGATTTTAATTTGAATATAAATATAATCATATACCTTTTTATATGTTTGATTTGTTTCATTAATAAAAGAGTTATTAGGAAGTATGTGTTGTTAAGGTTTCTTCCCTTATGATAATAAGATTTTACTTACTTCTAGAAAGATTTTGGTCAAGAACTTTCATGAGCTCATCGCTTTGGAGAATTTGGCAACAATTCACTTTCATTATTAAGAGCCAGTTTTGATTTGAGGTGAAAGCGTTTACTTCTGCATATTCAAGTGTAATTTGTCTAAAGTGAATCCTGTTCAATCAAATTGTTGATCTCCTTTGTCGAGTTTAGAGTTGTATTTGTTTCGATTTCACCACCTTTGAATTTTATAAATTGATGTAAGATAATTTGATGTTTTCGTTTGGTATGTGTTTTTCTAGCTTTATATTTGATCCTCTTGTTGTTCTCTGTTATCATATATTTTGCATAAGTGGAACTCAGTTTCAGATGAGTGAGTGAACAAAGTCTGAAATTTCAATATAGAATTGTATGTATTAGATTGTTCTTCAAACTCTTATTCTTTTTATAAGTACGAAAGTTAATTTAATTATTTAAATATTACATTCTAATTATCTCTGATCAGTATAAGATTTGTAATAAATATTCTTAATTTTTTAAAAGTTGAATTTTTCCTCAGGGTGTCATGAAAAAAGAAAAAAACTTGTGTTCTGAGTTGATTCTTAGTTTCATGTTGCAATTTATGGTAAGCATCAACTAGGTTGGTGAAATAACAGCATTTTACATCGTAACCTACACCAAACATCACTATTTGATGCAATAACCTACCTACATTGGTTTCTATTGGATGTGAATGAGGACAAGTATAGCACCAAATTAAATCTGTTGAGACAACAATGGCCAGTCTATATTGTGCCAGTCTTCTATAATGTACTTTATTTGGGGTACAGAAAATAGCATACAAATACATAAATTAGAAAGAATAAAGTTTATTTTTTCTAGTATGGTCTGTCCTTATTTGTTAGCAGTTACTTTAATTAGATATCCTGAAGTCGGACTAATGGCAGTGGCCCACCGAATATCTCTGGTATATTACTTTCATCAATGTCTTCTAGCAGTGTTGATTTCACCTTATTTTTATCCACAAATACAATCTGCAAGCAAATCCAACTTCAAACATCTCAAACACATACTATATATTATTTAATTAGATACAAACTGAATTTAAGACATAACCTTCTTCTTGGTTTTGTTGTCAATGAAAGGGTAAATAATTTGCCACACTTTCATAAATATGTATGGTGCATTGACAATAAACAACTTCCCCAATCTTTCCGGGTAGTAATCCTGCATCCAAAAATTTACAGCCATTACAACGTACGAACTTCAACTCCAGCTTCACGCAAACAGACACATGTTAACATTGACCTTATTCCTAATTCATGTATGACATATTACCAAACACACTAATCTGTCTTGTTTGTACCATGTCAAAACACTGAAACAGGCAAGAAATGGTGCTATACCTGCAAAACTGATAGAGCACCAAGATATCCACGAACGTCACTGTTTGAGTATCCCCATCCCTTAAGTTCAGCTATACCAGCAAACTTTTCTTGACCAGGTGGAATACTGATACACCAAGAGGTATGTTAATTACCTTTCATACACAAAAATTCTAAACACGTAGTTCCAGAACAAAGATATTAAGGAATAAAATTGGGATTACCTTGCACATATTTTGTCAAACACGTAGACGACAAACCCTGTATTACAAAGAAGTTATATACTTATCAATGAGAGACAAACTTGTGCATGTGCAAAACACAATATATAGTGTATGACAGAAGTAAATATTAAATGGCGTTAACTGGAATTAAACACACGTTTGAATTCATCTCCACCATCTTTGTTCTGAAAATGTTTTCTACCGATTACAACAGCTATAGGTCGACCTATCTTGTCATGTCCTTGCACGAACACCTTCTCTTGAGCAAGTTCATTGCGAACTTCTGATACGGATACAGAACCATTTGGAACAAAGGAATGTCTCCATTTCAAGTACTTGAGGAACATTGTAGAAGCCTTCTCCAAATCTAAATCACGAGCACGTAGGAATCTTCTAATCGTAAAATCATCTTCTTCCTGCAACCCAGAAATCAAAATCAATTTTTGAGCCGTAATGTAATCAATTTTTTAGAAAGGACACTATTTAAGTATATTCAAATTACGGGAAATTAAACATTAATAATGGTTTAGCAATGATTTGATAATGAACAGCATAACAAGTCTAAAGAACAAATTTTACTCAAATAGGTTTGGGATGACTCTTATTCTATCTTTTTTAAACTTTAAATTTAATTTAATCTTATAAAACTAACTTATAATATAGTTTTTATTTGACTCAATAGACATGTTAAAAAAACACTACTCCATGATATCTTTTAAATCTATGCCTATTTAGAATAAATTTAAATTTTATAACTAAATCTTTGCGTATGTTGTTATTATTTATCCTTCAATTAATATTTATAATTATTAGAAAGTGGACTTTAAGTCTAACTCAACCCCACAAAACTGGCTTGTAAGGTAAGGTTTGCACCTCACTTATATATTAAGAATTGACCTTATCTCTAGTCGATGTGGGACTTCCAACAATAATATTCTTATTATATTTATAAGGTAAGTATTATTTTAATAGAAACATAATCCAAGAATTCAGATTAATCCTATAAATATAACTAAAATCAAAGATCACTGCATATAATAAATTTAATTATTTATAACATATTTAAAGTTCCATAATCACTACATATAGTTGGTTCCATTACATAATAAAAAGCGAAAAAATTACAACTATAAAAAAGAAAATAGACAAAATTAAGAAAGGCAAAAATATATAATTAAACTAAGATTTTGAATAAACATAAAATGAACAATATTTTTCTCTCCATAAATCTCAGTTGTTTTTGTTTAACAATATGGTTTGACACTCAAGGCAAATACTTAACGATAGATTAGGATTAAATGGACATGCAAACTACCTACATGTGAAAGAGTTCGTGAAGAAATTGATCAATAATAAGTAACTTAAGTAAAAAAAAAATAGACAGTTTACCAACAAAACTATTTTGATCAACATTTTTTGTTCTGACACACACAATTCAACAAAACTTTCATATTTATTAGGCATTATTCACAAAAATATAATTCAAGACTTTTATTCACAGCCCAGTCAATAATGCGAAACTTTCTTATAGAAACGTATAGATAATTTTGTACGTACACTATTACCGTAACTAAAATTAATATGATACGTTTGTTTAGATCAATTCATATTATACTTCTAAACAATATGAATTTAATCAATTTAGTCACTGAATAATTTAACATTGTCTCTACTATGTATGTCAAAAATTAAATATTAGATAATAATAAGGTTTTCTTTTTTTATTTTAATTGGTTTTCAAGTTCTTTTTCTTTTGGCCTGCATGTGGTCTTAAAGTTATTATGTATATAAATGGAGGAAAAATAATCTTTGTTAGTGATGAATGAATTGAATTGTTACAATATAGCTATGGATTATGACTTTAGATTTTTAAAAAATATGTTTGATTTTAAATAGGAAATCACAATAACATCATTCAAAAACTGAAAGTGTTGACTGTTAGTTCAAAGGATATTAAAGTCTTAAAAATAAATAATTTTGTATAAGAGAGTTCTTATTTAAACGTTCACATGTCCTGTACGAAGTATAAATGGTTTGAATGAAGAAGACAAAAATAAAATTTTCTTATAAAAGTATAGAAAATGATTACTCCAATTAATAAAGAATTGAATCAATTATATTTTGCTCAATCGAGAATATATTATTTAATAGAGAAAAAGGTTGTATTAATGATATCTTTTATTAAAATATATTATTTTTATTAATGACTTAATTTAATTTTCTTAAATTATTTTTTATCATTATCACATTATTTAGAATTCGAGAATAAAGTTATGTATTTTTTTAACCTTTTGAATTTTTTTTATAAGACTGTAATAGATATTATAAATTCTAAATCAAATAATATTTCAAATATAATAATTATCTTTAACAATATTAAATTGACAAATATGAATATGTTCTCACATTCTTATGTTTCGTGATGTAATTATTTTAAAATTCTTACCAATTATGAATTATATAAAAAAATCAGTTTCACCTCACACATTGAAAAAGAGATACATTTATTTCGTTTTTCAATGTAATTAACATTTTATAAATAACTCACATAATAACAATAATAAGACTAATAAATTTGAAAAAAAAAAATTCAAAATCGGACAATAATAAGATAACTTAATAATCCCTCGTGATAAAATTATATCTGACAGAGGCCTTTAATATTTTCGCCTCATGTCAGTGTCGGTTGGTTGATGCATTACTTACTCAATGACAGTGTGTAGTGTATGATTCCAATTAAAAATTTATCATCAATTATTACACTTATTTTACAACTAAAATAATATATAAATACATATTTTTTTTAAAATACAAATAAAATAATGATAAAATGACGTACATTTCCCTTCATTTAATACGTGTTACAAAAATAAAATAATTTTAAAAAACAAATTTTTATATTTTTAAAAATATAAAAAGTTTGTATCAAATGATATTTCTATTGAATCAATCATGAATATGGTTGGATAAAAGTTGAGATATGCTTTTAGAAACTTCAATGCATATTTTAAAATTTAAAAGGAAGAAAACGTTAAAAGTAAAAACACTTTTAAAATGTACGAACAAACATCTAAAGAGGTTCTGTGAGTTCTCATTATATCTCTGTCAATTTCTCACCAAGTAAGTTATATAGTGATAAATGATGAAAACGAAAGATCACAAAAGGTGTTAGATAATCGGTAAGAACAGTCAAGAATAAATGGTAATTGAATTTAGTTTTTTTTATACGGAATTCTTTTATATTTGTTATTATTATTCTATATTGTAATTCTTAACATTTAAATACTTCATAGTTAGTAATCACATAACTACTGAAAACACCTTAAGATCTCATCTCATTTTGATTTTAAAGTTAAATCCTACGGTACCTCATGATCTTAGAGTAAAAGAGAAATTAAAAGAAGAGTTTTATTAAATTTATAGAAATATTAAGAATTATTTAAAGCAGAGAAATTTAAAATAAAATTTAGTAGAAAATAAAAATTAAAAAGAATAAAATAGTTTACCTTAGCAGTGGGATCTCGTGCTTCGACCATTGCCCTCAAGAGACGGATTTTGTTGAGTTCAGTTTCAGTGCTATCGTCTTCAACACGCACTTCTTCTCTAACCCTCGTCACGTTCGTGGCTTCCATTTCAACCTTCTTCTTGTTTTCTTTTCTTCTGTCGCCAAACTCGTTTCGCTTCAAGCCAAGAACCTTAACCCAGATTTTGATGGTAAGTTATGGAGAAGATGTAGAAGTGATTATATATATATATATAGCATGTTAAAGCAGAAGGAAGGCCATCGACCAGTACGACATTGATGTTGAACAACTTAATTTGGTACGCAGAAAGATTGTCATGAAGGTAAACAGTATAGAGAGCATTGAATGCTAAAAAGCGAGAAAGTTTATTTATCTTTTCTGAAAAATGAGATTGAAAAGAAGTACAATGGCCTTTATTGGAAGATGAAGTTGAGAATGATGCATGACTGGTTTCTGTATCGTATTGCTTCCGTGAAGAAATCTGATTGCAACTAATATCGATGCCATAAACCAGATCCAATTAATTATATTTGGTCAATTCGGTCACCCATTCACTGCTCTCTAACTTAGGTTAACAAATCACATCATATTAATTTTGGCTCATTCTATATATATTAATGAGATATAAATATAACATACATAAAATATTATTAACAATTTTTTTTAATATTTTATTGTTTCGTTAGTTCATATATTTAAAACAAGTTACCACATAAACAATCATAAAAAAATTATCAAAAAATTATTAAAAAAATATTTTCCTAAATTAATTTATGAGTTTTTAAATTTTTTTCATCTTTATCCACTTGCTTACACTTAATCTTTAACAATTCCATCTTAATTTCCTTCTAAATTAATACACTCCTCTTAAACACAAACATTTTCGACCATATAACTTAAGAAACTTAAACTTATATCTATATATATACTACTGCATTTTATAGTAGCATCTATATTAATGGAAGGACAGCATGTTATTATACTTTTTACTGTTTAAGTTCATTTCAAAGAAATAAAGAAGACATGAAACTAATTATTTGATTATATTTATAGAGTAGAAAGAAAAATTATGTAATTTGATTAATTCGATATAAATTAAAGGGTTAAATATGTTTTTAGTCCCTAAACTATTGGTCGTTTCTGGTTTTCGTCCCTTTTTTAAAATAAGGTACAATTTGGTCCTCATTCTTTTCAAAACGTTCGTTTTAGTCCTCGAAAACTAAACACTGTTTAAAAATTTGGTACTCATTTAGTAACAAATGAAGACTAAAACCAAAATTCCAATGACTAAAACGAACGTTTCGAAAAGGATGAGGACCAAATTATACCTTATTTTGAAAGAGAAACGAAAACCAGAAACGACCAAAAACCAAAAACGACCAATAGTTTAGGAACTAAAAACATATTTAACCCTAAATTAAAAATAATGATAACATAGATACACTATTTTCTTAAATAATATGTCTCTCTTTGTTTCGGACAGATATGAACTTAATTCTCATTATTTCCTTTCACACGAGTTACCAAAAATCGATTCTTATGGACTACAATTTGTTTTGCTTTTTCCTTATTTCGAGGGTACCTTTGACAACAACGTCAACTTTTTGCACAAATGGTCTGGGCCAATTATCACGTTTTTGAATTTATGCGCCTCTTTTTGTTTTTTTCTAATTAAAACTAAACATTTTTTTTAATTATTCAAAAAAAATATATGGTCTATTTTCAAACTAATTATAGATATAACATTTTCATGTGATAAATAAAATTTATATTAAATTATAGCATATTTTTCACCTATTAAAAAGAATATTTTATACCGTTCTTATAAAGTCTTTTTTACATAAGGATCAAAATACTAAAGAATTAATTTTTAAAATATGTTACTAGATTGATTTATTATTTAAAACAATATATTATAAATAAATAAAATTATTAATGGAATTTTATATTATAAAAAGTTATTAAAATATTTTATTGAATATTGATTCTATAAAGGGATTAATTACATATTTAACAATATTTTAAAATAATTTAAAAAACATATTTAACTAAAAAAGTAATTTTACACGTACTCATGAAATAAATTAATTATATTAAATTCTAAAAATACTTCACATATATATATACAGGGGTTTGCTAACACGCGTACGCCTGTATTTCAGTTGGTACATTTTAGCAATGTGTACCGGGTTTTAGTAGACAAAAATATCCTTATATATCATGGATTCTAAGTTTTAAGGGTTAAGAGTATTTTAATAATTTTCATTCTCAAAACTAAACAAAAAAAGAAACCCCCGAAACCCTTACTCACCTCTCTCATTCCTCTCAACCCTTTCTCTTTCATCTTTCTCACTCCAATCTTTTCTCTGTCATCCCTGCTGTAGCCCCAATTGAAAAAAATCAGAAACATCCTAGTGTAGCCCCAATTGAAAAAAATCAGAAACACTTGTCGTTAAACAATCTTACAAAAAAATGATTTTATAATGAGTTTTGATCTTATAATTTTTGTCTTATCTAATTTTCACAAGCATAAAGGAATTGGTAATTGACTTCGAAAAAATCAGAAATACTTGTTAAACAATTTCTTACAGAAAATGATTTTATAATGAGTTTTTATTTTATAATTTTTGTCTTATCTAATTTTATCTAATTTTCACAAGCATAATGACATCAAAGAAATTGGTAAGTGGCCTAGAAAAAAATCAGAAACACTCGTCGTTAAACAATTTCTTACAAAAAATGACTTTATAATGAGTTTTCATTTTATAATTTTTGTCGTATATAATTTTATCTAATTTTCATAATGACATCCGAAAGAATTGGTAATTGGCCTGGAGGGTTTTTTTAGAGATGATGATTCAACATATGCAGATGATGAAATTAGAGAAATTAGTGAAGATGGTGAGATTGAAGAGATCTTGAATGAACCTTTGCCTGAAGGTGAATATGTCAATGACTCAACTATTTACAAAGGCAAATTGTTTAAAGACAAGTGTTTCTGATTTTTTTCAATTGGGGCTACAGTATCGATGACAAAGAAAAGGTTGGAGTGAGAGAGATGAAAGAGAATGAGAGAGGTGAGTAAGAATTTGGAGGGTTTTTTTTTTTTTTTAAGTTTTGAGAATGAAAATTATAAAAATACTCTTAACCTTAAAACTTAGAATCCATGATATATAAGGGTATTTTTATCTACTAAAATCCGGTACACATTGCTAAAATGTACCAACTGAAAAATAAGTATACGCGCGTTAGCAAACCCCATATATATATATATATATATCGTTAAACCTTGTTCAAATTTGTGAGAAGAAATCATTATCAAACAGACATAAAGGTAAACAATAGGCTCAACAGATTTAGGCTGTGTTCGCATGAACGGAATTTACTGTTCATGCGAATTTGCGAGCGAAGAATTCAGCTCGTTATGCGTTCGTTTGGAGTGAAATGCGCGGACGGATTTGCGATGAAATGCGGGATGGTTGCACTGTTCAGTCACTCGCGGTTGTGAAGAGATTTGCGCGGATTGTGAGCGAAATGTCGCGTGTGCCCTCGGTTAAGAAACGCTAGAAACGCGTAACCGGTTACGCGTTCGAGTAACCGGTTACGCGTTCGCGTAACCGGTTACGCGATTTCCTATTTATTTTTTTTTTCAAGTTTTTTTATAATTATTTTAATATTAATAAAATTAGATATATTATATTTTTTAATTTATTTTT